TTACCTGTTTAACATCCCAACTGCCAATCAGATGAGTCAGGTTGGTAGGGTCAGAGTTGTTCTTTTGGTTTATTTCTTTCTTTTTTTTTAATTTGGCAGCTGGCCAGTATGGAGATCTGAACCCTTGACTTTGGTGTTATAACATCACTTTCTAACCAGCTAAACTAATCAGCCAGCCCTGTTCTTTTGGTTCCTTAGCACAACTTTAACATGTTGCTGAAGTTCTTGAGAAAACCCCTGATTGTAGGTTTTATATCATATTGTTTTTGGTCCCCATGACATAATGCAAATACATCTGAATATACTTTGTACTGGCCAGTAGTAATGATTGTTCTGGTTATGATGGAGCTAACATTTGCTGAATGTACTTCCATCTGGGCATATACTTGGAGCTGTTTTTCCAGTAATGGTGATGGGTAAGAAGTATCCTGACTTTGTTCCAACTTCTACTAAAGAACAAACTGGTTGGGACAGTGGAATAGAGTTTTCTCCTGTATTAATACTAACCGTAGTTTGAAATTATAAACCTGGTTCATTACCATTGTACTCTAAATGAGAGAGCTAACTAGTTAACCATGAGTATTCATGATATGACTATTAGAAAGTTTGTCTTTTTTGAGGTTTCTCACTTTTATTGCTTTTCAGTCTCCATATTAATCTAATTCCAGATGGCTAAAGAATAATTTATTACTGAGATGTCAATGAACTGGAATTTGCAGATTTGCCATGTCTCTGCCACATATATATGTGCTCATTTCAAGACAAAAATAAAAAATATGAATTTTGAAGAAGCTAGTGGTTTGGGGTATTAGTGAGAATGTTAGAGTCAGAAAATAGTTTAATGGAAAGGCAATGTGTCTCCACACAGGATGTAAGGACATAAGCACAGATGCAGTGTCGGGCTAGCCTACACAGTGTCTTTGGGCAAATTAGAAAAAGGTGTCTGCTTCCTCCAGAAGATACAGCCCTGAGTCAGGTTGTAGCTTACCCAGTGAGTGAAGAGTAGGCTGTGTTTCAGATCCTGTTCATTCCTTCTGCGAGGCACCCTCGTGCAAGGCATAACTCCTTATCTCTACGTGGTAGCCCTATGTTGAAGGAGCTTCAAGGTATGTGAATTCCTATTGGTTTTCAGGCAGGAAATGTTCCTATGTTCATCTCATACAGCTGAATAAATCTTCTAAAATAATGGTTCTCAACACTGACGGCATTGGTATTACCTGTGGAACTTTAAACAATCCCAATGCTGGGCCGGCCCGGTGGCGCACTGGAGAGTGCGCCGCTTGGGAGCGCAGCGGTGCTCCCACTGAGGGTTCGGATCCCATGTGGAGACCGGTTCCCGCTCACTCGCTGAGCGTGGTGCGGGTGCGACACCGAGGGTTGCGATCCCGTTACCGGTCAGTAAAAAAGACAAAAAGGAAAAAAAAAAATCCCAATGCCCATGCCATCCAAGACCAATTACATCCAATTTTCTGGGAGAAGAACCTATGCATCAGTACTTTTTTAAAACTCCCAGGTTAATACAGGGTTGAGGGCACAGGGCTACACTGATCAGTTAAGAGACACAGCAACCAAACTGAATGTAAATCCTTGGCATTATCCAAGCTAAACTTGCCAACCTCAATGCAAGTGCATTTCCTCTTTCTGTTCTTAGAAAGATGTCAGCACCTTTCTCCTTTAAATCACCCTCATGCCAGAGGTCAACTTTTTGCTTTGGCCAAAGCTGAAGGAGACAAACTCATATTGAAAGAAGAAACACAGGACTGTGAATTTAGTGACTTATGGAATGACAAGAAAGTAAAATCTAGAATCACATTTGAAAGTGAAAAAATGGTGATGATAGCAAGTTGGCAGGCTGGAAGTCTTGATAACAAACTACTGTCTGTTTTCCATCTTTAAATCAGATGAAGTAAAGGCTGTTTTCTAAAGCTCATATTTTAGCATGTGAAATTTAAAGACTCACAGGGGAGACATAGATACTGTCTTTTGAAAAAATAAATAAATAAATAAATTTTTAAATTTTTAAATAAAAAAGAATGTACTTTTATTTGTATAATTTAAATTGAGATGTTGATTCAAAATGAAATGTAAATATTTCAAATGCTCTGCTCCCCTGCTCTCTAAAACATACTACAGTGGATGTCTAAGAAAAAAATAGAATAAGAGCAGAACTCTAATTCTTCAGAAAGAAAATCATTATAGAAGCTTAGAAAGTAGATTATATCATATAGTACTTTGGTAATTTTAAAAGTTCTGAAAGAGTAAAAGAAAAAGGCTTAGAAGACAGACACTAAAATATAGTGTAGTAAAATTAAGGGCTGTTTTTATTCTATTCTTTTTGCTTATACTCATATATTTTCTAAATTTCCTACAGGGAATATATAACTAATTTTATAAAGAAAAACAAAGTTGTACTTTTATAAAGAAAGAAGAAATGCTTCATCATTTTTATTTCACATAAATTAAACAAAGGCAAATAATTTAACAGAAAGTTCTCTCTTTTTCATGTACCCAATGCTGAGAAAGCCACCTTCATTCTGGCTATAGACAGGCCGATGTATACTATCTCTGGGATTTAACAAAAAGGAGGAAGTAAAACCAAAATTGCCCAAAGATTACTCTACACCGTTGTTTTGGCATTGTCTTGATTCATTTTAGAATTCCAAACACAGCACTGAAGCCAGAGCTAGAACAGCACTGAGCTGGGTAAGTAGACTGAAAACAAGGTGGTGTAAGGATCATGGGCTTTCCCACCTAACATTTATCCTCATTTAGTCACATTCTGACTAAACAGCTGAAGGAATCACAGCAGAACTACTTCTATATGGCATTTCCATAAATGACATTCTGAAAAAGCGTTTGTCCCTAATTATGAATAAAGGTAATCAGAAAGTGGCTCTCAAATGTACACTGTATCAGATAATCTTGACAGCATCAGTTGCACTGCTACTTAGCAAAAGTTTGCATGACCTAAGCAAAAAGGAAATTAAATAAACCTTAAAGCTATCAAGCAAATAAGAATTTGAACTAAAACATGGAAATGACATTCATATCATGGTATAGCAGAATGAGCCCAGCTTTGAAGAGATTCAGAATTAATTTCCAATATTAGGTGTGCTATGTGATTTGTGCAAGTTGCTAGCATTGCTTTCACCTTATTTTATCATCCATGA